CAGCCTGGGCTTTTCAAATAAAGACACCGTTTCTCTGGTGCTCAATTCTTGCTGTGCCCAGAAAGAGAATGATGTATGAACAGTACTACATCAAAGAAGTAGCTACATCCATAAACTAGTTCTTCAGTCTGCACTTAACCCCTCAAAATGCTAATTGTTATCTTACAGCTCAGTTCAAGAGAGAGAAATGCAGTGTGTACTTCCTTAGACAGTGAAAATAAGGTATAAAATCAACAAACACTACAAACACACCCCTTTTTGACAAACATGACAAATGCATCCCTTTACAATCTTTATACTGAAGAAATATCTTAGATGCTAAACATCCAAAACCTACATTAACCTTGTGCATTAAGACAGTGCTCATGTTTACACTGTTCTTTTAATCCTGTAAAATAATTTCATACTGTGTAGATCAGTTTGGGTGTATTTTTCATCCTAATGTATTCAGACTTTGCAGGCTCAATTAAGTCTGAAAATTATATACTCATTTTCTAAGCTTTTTTACCCCCCTCAATTAAGATGCAGTTTAAAGTTTGCCATTTTATATAATGATAAAATGTAATTTTATAGTTAGTGGACAGCTCAATATGCAATTATCTGTTTTCAAAATCAATTAAAAGAGTCGTTTTCTGAAAACCTGCCTGAGAAGGTCACACTGTTCCATAAAAAGCTACTGTTCCAGTTACAAGTGCTCCTAAATGTTCACCTTTTGATGAAGCTTGCTTCCAGGCACTGATAATTGTGCTAAATATTCGGTGTGTTAAGATATTTTCATGTGTCTAGCTGCTCTAAATGTGCAAGAAATTTGGAAAAAAAAAAGGAAAAAGTATTTAAATATTTGTCCAAGTAAATATTGAGGCCTGAATATTTTGAATCTAATTGTTTTGGTCTGGTGTCTGAGAAAGGTAAATTATAACATTCCATTTATTTACAGCAAGCATTGACTATGATGAATTATTTATCTAGAGGTGGAAAGGCCAAGCAGTATACTGAAGAAGGCCATGTGGAGATGTGGGCAATTGAAGAATGAGAGAGGAGGGTGTATTTCATTTGTAGGCTGAAATGCAAGTAACAACTGTCTACTGTTAAAGAGGTGCTCAACTTCTGCAATATGCCCAGGACAAAGTCTGCACATACCTCTTCCCTGCCTCCCAAATGGGATGAATGCTCTGGGGAGTCTTTCTGTGGGGGGAGCACAGCAGGGATGGTACTTTCCTGAACAAATTCACACAGTTTCCAGTGCAGTGTTCACCTAAGTCTGCATCCCTATATCTCACTATCTCATTTTGAACTTCTAACTATCAGGAAATCCAGTTCTTAACAAATAATATTTCAGCGCTTTTCTTGGGACAGTGTAAGGATGATTCACTTGTCAGGAACTTACCAACAAAGGGGATTTACAATAGCAAAGGTGTGGAGAAGATAAACAGCAAAGATAAACATTGCCCTTCTTTTGAAGCAGTGTAATTTCTTTAAAAATAGTGGTTTATGTGTCTTGGAGTTGCTTCTTTATTTAGCAGTGTTTACAGTCTGTGAGGTTTTATGTTTTCAGAAATGTGGGTACCTGCATCAGGCTGTCTGCCTTTGTCTGAGCGCCAGTGCAGGACTGTTAGTTACTGAAATAGCATTTTCTAGACCTGAGAGAAGTGTCAGCAGTTTGTTTCTGGCCATGCCCTCTCTTCCTCTACAACGAGCAGATCTGTCACATGAGTTAATTTAGTAAGTAACTGCAGCATGTCATGGAAACAACCTGATCACCTGCAGGTCTTCAGTAGTCTTTAAATTTAGTTACATGAGGGTTTAAAATGCCCTCATGTAATGAAACTAAAATAGATTACTGTTAGTCTAAATTACATAGGTGACAATGTACCATGATATCCATCACATGCTAACTTTTTTTTAATTATTATTAATTTACTCATCTATGTCAAACGACATCTTATTGTTTTGGAATTGAATTTGAAAGCACCAAATGAAATCTAAAATTGATGGGAATTACCTTTTGATCTCTTTTACACACGTGTATAGATAGATAGATATGCATATGTATGTGTGTATGTATCTCTGTGTTTATATATATATAAAAATATATATATATTTGGAAAATCAGACAATGCCTTCATTTATGACATCTTTAATCCTGAATTTATGAATGTTTTGGGATTTGTTTGTTTGGTTTTGATTTTGGTTGTTTTTTTTTTAATATGGAAAAAATAATTCCCAATAAAGAGCTTTATAAATGTTTATTTCTTGAAAAGGGAGTCCAGATAGTGCAAAGCAGAGGACTGACGATAGGATTGTACATAAATCCGAGGATTTGGGCTTCAGCCTTCAGCCTAGTGTGACACAAGAATTTTCAGTGTGTATCTGTGCCACCCATGTGTGCTTTGGTATTTCTGCCGTTAATATAGACCTGTGTTCTTGTAATTGGGTCTTGGATTTTAAATCAGCTGGAAAATGGGAAAATATTAAAGGAGAAATTAAAAAATACTGGAAGAGCAGTAATACTTCTAAGAACACTTGAGGAGTTCTATTTTCTGTAATGTGTTAAAAACATCTTAACTTGGATTTTTAAAATTATTTTAAAATAAAATATGTGCTTTTAGGACATTAAAAAAAAAGCTCGGTGATCATCACTTGGGCAGTGCCTGGGTGGCTGTGTGCCAGAGAGCCAGCAGTGGGTTTGCTTTCCAGGCTGCACCTTTTGTTCCCCAGAGCAGCGGGGAATGGCAGCAATGCGGATGCAGCAGTTTAGCTCCTGGGCACAAAGGGATCCTTAATACCAATTAAAAAGCAGACTTAATGAGTACCAAAAGCAGCCCCCAAGCCAGGCCTCCTTAGCTAAAAAAAGATGGGAAAGCAACATGTTGTAGGAAATGATGGAATTTTGAAAATCCCCTAAGAAACAGGGGAACACCCTGCTGCATCCTCAGCTCTCCCTCTGCTAAAAGCAAAGCTGTGTTAAAATACAGGGGAGTAACTGGTGGAACTGCCCCATTTGGAAAGTGGCTTTTAGCTAGCTGGGGGACTGTTTGTGGTCAGTATGTTATTTCTAACTAAAATGGCACTTCATAAAAATAACAAATTGTTGGCAACCATTGCTCTTTGAATTCTATTTCTAGTTCTAGTCTCTATTTCTGTTCCTCTTGGTTGCTTTTCTCCTAACAAATCAAACTTCAGGATTGCAGCAGGAAATTTAGATTTAACCTCAAGAGTCAATGTTTTGTCTCATGTCTGCTCTAATGCGATACAGATGTTGGAACTGCTGTACGTAACTCAAGATTTTATTGAACTAGCCCTCCCTGCCTAATAGAAAACATAGCTAACTGGAGTCACATTAAACACAGATCACTCTGAAGGCACTAAACCTGTGAATTTTAGAAATACATTCACAAAATACTTGGGATATTACTTCAATTGCACATCCTTCAGCTGTTTGATAGGGAGTTTCTACTACGCTAAAGGAGCAGAGCTCTTTATCTTACTTGTTTTAAAAAGCAAAACCAAGAAGTAAGCATGAAAAAAATGTGATAGCTGAAATTATTTACAGGCTGGATATTCGGTTTTTTCTGTTCTTTTTCCCTTCTCTTTAAAAATAACCAGCAAGACTAGAGAGATAGATTATCTGTTGCATCCCTTTTTACTTCTCCATCAATCCTGATCTCTGCTAGAGATTTTAGTTTTCCTTCTCTTGAGTTACCATTGTGGCCAGAGTGTGCTAAATGTTTGGATGTGTCTTTGATGAGGACTGAACAGTAAACACTGACATTTCTCAAGACTCTGCTATGCCATGTTAACCCCAGTACAAAGTCATCTGAAATCAGCTCTTTCCTCTATTTCTAATAATGAGATTAAAGTTTTCTACTTTTCTGTACCAACAGTAGACTGTGTTTCTTAAATGAGATTTTTTTTTAGGGCAGCACCAGAAGGTTTAGCACATCAGAGTGCTTTTATTGCACATAACCAAATAGGAATTATGTATTAATTTAGTGCACTAAACCCAATCCTCATGCCTTATAATATATGAAATGTGCTACCCAGAACAATCTCCAAGCAGCAAATAGACCAGGGAAAAGCCTTCAATACACAGAAGGTAGTGGTGTGGGAAAACCAACCCAAGAGCTCTACAGGAAAACACAGAGATTAAAAAAGTCTTATGTATGTTTTCACCTAGTTAGGCTGACTGATATGGTGGCTTTTTTTGTTTGAACCTTGAACTTCCACTTCTTACTGGAGTCTTCTTTGACCAACGTGTTTTGGATGTGGGTGTTAGAGGGGGTACAACTGGGTCTTCAGGCAACTCTGGGGCTGCTGACAGCTGTGTTGATAATGCCAAGAGCAGTGCAGAGAGACACAGTGTTAGCAAAGGCGAACTCCTTGTGTTTGGGGGGTTAAAGCTGAGCTCCAGAAAGGTCACACCTGTATTAAAAAAAAATAGTAAAAAGCCCTCACTCATTCAAACAATGGACATATCATGAAAATTAATTCATTTTAGCTATTGTATCAGCAAAACAGATCATTAGTTGACCCTTAATATACTGAACGATAAATATGTTTTTCCCCAGTAATGTGAACAGTGCTGTTTGAGGTTAATTGTCTTTCTGTATTCCACTGGAAGGCTTTTGGTGCCAGACTTGGGTTTTTTTCTACATAGACAGCAGCTCAAGGAAAATACGGCTGTCCTGGGTCCAGCAGAGGAACCTGTATGAAAAATAATTGGTCCTACCTATTAGCTACATCACAATTTTTAAAATCCTTTCTGATCTTGTCACTTGTTATACAAGAAAATCTGTATCAGCAACTATTTCTAGCAGCTAACTTCTGAAAAAAAAGAGGAAGGTTTTATTATTGCCTAAAGCTTCCAAATTCAGTTTGTATCCTATAATGAGTACAGGAATACCGAGTCATTTTTAAAATAGCAGATTAGCTCTGTTATCGTATAAGAAAACTCTGAGGTCATCAGTGTAGCATTACATATTAATCTTTTTCTCTTCCAGGCTTCAGTTTATTTCTTTCATTTCCACAAACACTATACAATATTCACAGGTAAGTTAATTAACATTAAGTTCTATTCCCTCCCATTTAATTATGTATATTTAAGGGTTTCCTCAATTAGAAATAAATGTTATGCTTGAAATAGCCTAGCTCCTTCATCCAGATGATGTCCTGACAACGTAGTAAAAGGTTTTTCTGGTCAGTTTTCAGAATCTGACTGGTTTCTTTTCCATGTTTACAACTCTCCCCTTTTTCTTTCACTTGCCATTCTCCAGGCAGTCTCACAGTGGTCCTGCACAGTAAACTGATAAAAGCTCTGTAGTTAGAAACATTGTGTTTTATTTGCAATCAAATGTGATTTGTAACTTCTGCCTGCACTAAGTAAAATTCTGTAGCTGATCATCCTACACTCAGTGAAATACTTCATTGTCTTCCAGGTCCTTCTGTAAAACTCTCCTCTGTATGAAGTCTGCAGATAATTGCTATCAGATATAAGCTAGGCAGGTGGCAAGCTGTGATTACATCTAAGAGCTGGCTTGCTCCACCTAGGAATTTTATCCACAGTTATACTCTGATGGCCTATTTTTATTAACGCAGCCTGCCTTCCACTAGTATTTGATGGCTCATTTCACTCATTTGTCACTTGAGGTCTCTCAGGTCCTAAGTGTCCCGGAGGAGGGACTGTCACTGCCCATCTTCAGGAATTAGTGAAAATTTACACAAACATTTAAATTTTGAAGAGACTATAGCACAATATCTCATTGCTCCTACACAGCCCTTTTCCAGTTGCGGTACTCAATATAGTTAATAAAAGCATGAACAGCCTTGAGTTTGAGGCAGGAAGAATGGGGAGTCAGGAGATGTGGGGCAGGAAAAGCTGAGCACTTGCAGAAAGGCTGGGCTGTGGGGCAGGGGACTTGGAATCAGTGGGGCAGGGGACTCGGAACCAGTAGGGCAAGGGACTCTGTTTTGGGGACGACTGAGTAAAGGAGGGAAGCACCTTGTGCATGTCAGCCCCTGGCAGTAGCAGCATTTGCCCCAGTAAATATTTCAGTTTTGTTTTCCTTCCTTTCATGTCAGGAATTTTGTTTAGTGTTTTCCTTTTCAAGTCATCATTCGACAGAGAAAGATATTTCTTGGATTTTTGTCTAGCTGTTTCTATAAATACATATGTTCAGAGATTTTAAGCAGGACGTTTCCCAGTACACTTCAAACACAGAATTGCTCTTCTGAACTAGTGGTGTGAAGGAATGGTTTCATGGTAGTGAACTTTAGTAAATTAAACCTCCTACTCCTTTCATAACCTCAGAATGAGGTTTGCCTGAGTGAGAAAGATGCAAGATACAGGTAAAAGCTGTTGACCTTACAGTTACCATTTTCCTAAATTATGTAAAAGGCAGTAATTTACCACCTTTAATAGCACTACCTTTAAAAGCCAGCTTAAAATATCCAAGAAAACACAATGCATCATTAATTTTCCTGTACTCTAATTAGCCAAAAAAGCCTCCCCTTTAGGCTGTACTTTGACAATAGTACAGTATTGTCAAGCAGCATCACCTCTAGACCTAAACAACAGGAATACCTGCAAGCCACATGCTTGACTCTTCTGCCACTGAAAACACGGGGTGTATTGACTGAAACAATTTCATGTCTCATAAGTTTCATCCTCTATTTTGAATTCACAGCATGCCTGCATACTTGAGAGTACTGCAGCTCACTTCACGTGAGTTTAGTGGTCCATTGCCAGGCAATGGTGAGCAGGTGAAGCTGACCAGGAGCTATGTGAATAAATCAGTATAATTTAACCCCAGAAAAAATGTTACTTGGGCATACTACAGTTTCTTGAAAAATGTCTGCACATTTGCACAGGTAGCTATGTTGCAAGATGAACTCCTGGGCTGAGTTAGGCTAGAGGTTGAAGTTACTGTGTGGAAATAGAATGGATAAATTTTCTTACTCCATAAAATTATTGTATTTTCTAACAGAGCACATTTAAAGAAAACACTGAAGCATGACTCTCTGTCTGAAGGACTCCTACCTCTTGTGTCACCTCTGTTGCTGTTCGTTCTTCTTACAGTCTGGGTGGTTTTATCTCCAAGCAACATATTAGCAAAGCAACCAAGGCTGTTTTTATGGATGGTTGGAGTTGCTTTCTCAAATGTTATTGTAAGTATATTTGAGGTGAGATATTATTTAGAGATAGCTTATTTAGAGATAGCTTTTTATTTTTATGTGAATAAACAGAAGGGGACAGAAAATGTAGCTAAAATCAGCACAGTCACTCAGCTCTTCTACCTCTATATTACGCTCTGTCTTATAGAAATACACCACAACACTTGTCTGGACTAGAGACATTTACAGTACTGAAATACCTACTCTGCCACAGCATAACACTTTCATGAGGGTTCTGGGATTTTTTTGTTTTGTTTTTTTTGATGGTGGGTTTTTTTGTTTTCATTTGGTTTGGTTTTTTGTGGGGGTTTTTTTGAGGGTTTATGACAACCCTAGGGAGGCCGTACTTCAGAAATATACCAGGCAGAATGGAGGATTTGTCAAAGTAAAAGAAAAGTCAAAACAGGCACAGATTTATTAGCAAGAGTAGAGAGTTTGTAGCTTTCCCTTACTCTTGTGCCCATTAGTGTTGTACATGTATTCCTGTATCCTGCAGTTCAGCTGATCCTACATTTTCCTTTCACTGCTTAGAATAAGGCCATACCATTGACAGCATGTTTTAGGGAAAGATGTGAAGAGATGCAGTGGCCTCGTGATGGCTCTCTGCCCACAGATTAGTTTTTCCTATACCACATCATTGTGACCATTTTCCCCCCTTTAATGCCTATGAGGCAACATAAGCCTCCATGAAGTACCAGCATGGGCAGCCAGACAGTGGTGCTGAGCACTGCAGGTAACCCAGGGCTTTATTCTCTGGAGGAAGCCCTTTGCCTCTCTTGCCAGGAGAGTAGCCAAGCAGAAAGGTGTTTCTCCATTTAAGCTAAAAATACCCTAGAGGATAGTGCCTAGTGTCATCTTAGGAAAATAGCCTCCAACACCATCTAAAACTGTGTCACTGAGCAATGCTACCTCCGATTTAAAAAGTGAAAGACTTGAAGTGCCTTGCATTATGAGAGACATCTTAAAAATGTGGGATTTTAAAAGAGAAAGCATAACCCCTCTAGAAACTTGTTTTCAGGAATGGAAAAGAAATCGTAATTGTGATGTTTGTTAGATGTATGCTATAAATGTACTTTTCTGAGGGTCACAAATCAAACAGTTCCATCTTAAGGACTTAATCTCATAAAAATGAGGTTATTTTCAGATGTGTTAAGTTTTATTGTATGCATTGTTCATTACCTAATCTACCCCTTTTTCTTAAAAGAATAGCATAGATTCCAAAATGAGAAATAAAATTATTTTATGCCAGTGGGGAAAATGCTTTCAGAGTTTGGCAGATGGCAGTTTATGCACATACATCTTAACCAACCAAGAGTGATTGTGGCAGGATGCTTGCGGAAGAAAAACAGTAAGGCAAACCAAAAGTTTCTTTATAGACTGCAGTTTATCAGACATTGTGTGCAGTATATATTCTTCTAGCCTTGTTTTTTCTTTTCCCAAAACGCATACTGCAGTGTTGGAGGTTCATGTGAATTAAAAATGTATGCATGTTAGCTGAAATTTTTAACATTTTAAAAGCAAGCATTAAAAATGTATGGGTGTTAGTTGGAATTTATAACATTTTAAAGTTGAAAAACAAGCCTCTATTTCCTTTCACCTCCACTGGTCCCTTATACACACGTTTTTTCCAGCATCAGAGTAAGGCTTGTCACGACAATACTTTTCTTCTCCTTGATAGCCTGACACACTGGGTTTCCATTATCTGCTCTGCAGACCACAAATTGCAGCCCACGTTTCTCTACCTGCCAGTATCTTGAACTTCTCATGCCTTTGACAACATATTTGGTCACCTAGCAGATCCCCTAAGCTAAATGCCTGGTCTCAGACTTGGTCTCGCAGCCACTCAGTGTCAGGGCAAGTAGGGAGCGGGCAGAAAGGTGGGCTATATCCAGCATTTTTGGTTAAACTAAGAAAGTAAGTCCTCCAAGGCCTAAAAAAGGAAAGCTGCTTACCCATGAGAGGAGGACTTCTTTTCCCAGTCCCCGCAGCTGGCAGTGGGACTGCCTGTGGATTGACTACCTCTCTTGCCGGGAAGCTGACCTGGCTTTGAGATTTGTTCATACGGCAAGTGTCACAAGTATCCAGGTCTGAGCAAACCACCACAGAGCGCAGCTGCCACAGCTCCCGCATAGGAAGCCCTCAGAGGCACGTGTTGGAGTCCAGGAGGAGTGATGGAGTGGGTAAGTCCCATGGAGGGCAGTTGAGCCATCCCCATAGCAGGAGTGCAGTGGCTGACGTGGTGGCTGCCATGATGAGCTGGAGCAGCTCAGACTCATGAGATGCTTCTTGAGGAACGTTTCCAGGGAAAATGGTAAGGGAGAAGACATTAAGGCCCTACTCAGGGGCACAGACCACAGCTGCTAGAGGATTAACTTCAGCAGGGCCAGGGAAGCACTGAAAGGCATAGGCGAGGGGGACGGAAAAGCACAGGGCACAGTCCCTTACCTCTTCTTTCCCATTTCCCTATCCAGACACCAGTGCTTTCATCTCCTAATGCTGTTTTTGCCTCACTTGTAGTGTCAGTCAGTGCTTCAGGACCAAGGGAAAAAAGGAATTGAGGGAGGATCGGAGAGCATAGTCCATTTTGCAGTCCTGTGATACACTGAAGGTGAATTGCTCCAAATATTAATAAGCGATCTTTATGAAAAATCCAGTACTGTACTTAACATGGTATACTAATGGTTTAAAACAATGTGAAATTCAACCTCTGGACAGGTGCAATTATTTAGCAGAAAAATTATAGCATATAGATTGCTTTAGCAATTTCTGATACCCTCTGGAATGATTCCCAAAGGACCCATAAAACTAGTGGTATTAAAAAAATTCACAATCAATACTGAGAATGCATTGTAAATGCAAATATTAGCCTTAGGTACAAATGCTTACTTCTTCCATTATTGGAAGTTAATTCTTTTTCATGGTTTATTTTTGCATTCTTCAGCTTCCACAGAACGGGCAGTAAAGCCAGTATTTTTTCGCTACGGTCAGACTCCTACTGCTCCTGTCGTAGGGATTTCAGGCACTGCACAGGGAATGAGTTTTTCATTCTTCTACTTTTTTCAGGGTGCATAAAATCTATTTTTAACCACATTTCAATTTTGAGTGAAACTTAAATGGGTAAAATATTTCAGATGTGCCTAAATTCCTTTTTATTTTTGTAAAGGGCATGGTGTATATGAGACACATTTCTTAAGGAGCCTAAACCAGGCAAAACACTTCGGTGTGCTTAACTGGTTTTAAAATGCTGAACTTCAAGTGAGTTCATCTCATTAGGTTTCAAGAACTCAGTAGAATTAAGCTAATTGCTTTCAGTTAAATCATGCACCATATAGTCATTTTTTCCATCATTCTGAGTGGGATCCCTTTCTCTGGGCCCCCAACTACATCTCCAGGGAATCTGCTGCCATGACTGAGCCAAGAAAATGGTGTTTTAGTACATGAAGGAGTGCTAGAAAAGAAAAACGGGATTTGAAAGTGTCATATATTGTATTCCCTGCCTTCTATACAATGAAGCAGAAGACATTTCTGTCATGGCATGTGATTAAAGTACCATTATGCTCTCCCAGTGATTAAGTGGTGGCACATTTGATTTGGGATCACAACTTTACGAGCCTCTGTAAAAACATAAGGTGGCAAACAAACTCCCCTTTTGTGAAGATGTGCTTTGGCTTATGAAGTGTGTCAAAACACTGTCTCTAGAAAAGTGTGTATTTTAAATTACTTGTAATAATGTCCTTTAGGACTTACAGTGAGGCACAAAGATGCACCTATAGTAATCTTCTCACCAGAAACAAGCCCCATTTTTGAACTCTAGCCTTGTTTTCCCCTCATCCAAAGCAAACCACAGAGAAAATGGATGTACTTTTACTTGGACTCCCAGGACTGACCCAGCACTTCTCACCTGGCCCCTTTTGCTCCAACAGTGCAAGGTGATCATCTGCCAGATGAGCGGCACCCGGCCGGAGCTTTTCCACTGGTTCCTGTTGCCGCTGGCACTGGTGGTGTACGCAGCCATCTCCGGGCTGCTGGGCTGGATGGAAGAAGCTGTTCTTGCTGTGTTCACTGCCCTGGTCACGGCTGCCCACGTGCACTACGGGGTCTGCGTGGTGAGCGGGTGCCTCCGAAGCAGCCACGGAAGAGCTGCCCTGGGGCGGGCAGGAAGATGGGGTCTGGGAGCGGTTTCTAGTTGGGGTGGTGTCTGGGAGTCTGAAAGTTCAATTAGGGTTTTTTTTTCCTTTGTGTTTTTTTATTTAGTCTAAAGTTAAGTCAGTTTATTATAGGCAGTGCCTTTTTGCAACAACTTCAGTGACTTGAATTTTTCCAATGTAGCCAAATGGTTTTGGCTTTAAACCCATCACAATCAGAATATTTATGGACTGGTTTTATGTAGCAGCTGACCCATGTGGCATGAACACTACCACCCCTTTTTTTGGCCTTTCTTCTTCCTGAGGTCACCTGACTGAAAAACTAGCAAGGTAAAATGCAAAGTGCCATGAATAGAATTAATAAAATAAGGCCAACTTTGCTTTGAATCTGCGGGCAAAATAGCTGTTTAATTTCTAATCTTTTCCTGGCCCTCTGTTAGCATCTCTCAAGCTGGAGACATGAACAGTTTTTCCAGTTCATCAGTCTTACTAGTGCATTTTTGTGTCTGCTAGATCTCAGACTTGTCATTTATTGTCATCTGAATTACTGCTTAAATTCATTTTTACTTTGCTGATGCCCTCTTCTCTGAATTGTCAAATAATCCTTTAGCAAGTCTTTTCATGGGGATTTGCTTTTAGATAAAATACCTAGCATAGCAAAAATCTCATTTCAGAGGGAGTTGTTCAGCATTCTTTACGACACACCATTGGGATGTAAGGATTTTCTTTGAAAGAAGACGTGTCAGCAGACATTGGTGTCATAGTAGAGTCTACCCCAGCATCAATATGGGCCAATTGGTGAGGGTCAGAATGGAAAATACCTGGTCAAAGTTCACTATTGACTGAGAGGGCTCAGCTCCATCACAGCTTATTTCATCTGTGAATCTGGTCTGTAGCAAATTAACTTCCCATCAGTGTGATGCAAGAGGAATGTAAGGACCACAGCTCTCTTGTTTGAATACTTGCAGGTCCTTGTGTACTTGTAGGTCCCCAAGTACACTAAGACTGTGGTTGGGTCCTCCCCCCTCTGACTGGGAAAGGAAAGGCAGTGAATTGTGAAGCACGTACCAAACAGGCTGCTAATCTCCATGATTTCTCTTTAGGGTAGGCAGCTGAGTGAGCACTTGAACATTTACATCTTTTCCCTGAAGAAACGCATCCAAGAGTGAACACCTGCACTATGATCAGACTGTAACACTTACGTGGAGATCTGCAACTCTTCTGATGTGATAAACAGTTGGAATTAATCTGATTAAAATAACCAAAGAATAGAACAGCACAGATATCTGAACCACTGCGACAATGAGCTATGCAGCAAGATGCTTCATCTCAGAGGAAGATTCCTGTCCAGCAGAGAAGTGTTTACCAAGTTGTTCTGCTGCTAACATTTTTTCTCTTCTAACACTAATGCTGTGTTACTGGCCTCTCTGAAGCTTTTGTCTTCCTCCTCCTTGCCATTTTGTCCAAAGTCCTGGATAAATTCATGCCGGGTTACAAAAGCTTCTTGGTGGTTTATAACCAGCACTGGTTTTGCCCAGCCTAGTCACCAGTGGGACCCCAGCAATGCAAACACTCCCTGTATGTCCTTCTCACTCAGACATCTGTGCCTGCTTCATTTTCCATATTTATTTTCTCACAACTCATTTCTTCCATACAACCTCCTGAAAGGCTTATGCACATTCAGTCTTTTCCTCACCTCAAATGAATGTGTGAAGACAAGAGAATGAGCTGAGAAAGCTATGGGTAAAGTGTTTTTGAAATGTACGGGTTTTTTCCCATTCTCAGCATTAAGATGAGTCTCAGCTGACCTGTATCTGTCAGAAATGCAGGCTCTGTACAGCAGCAGCTGACCTTTATATTTATTTCCTAGGCAGTAACAAGCACATTGTTGATATTTCAGTAGCAATGAGCAATATACTCTACAAAGGTAACCAGCTGAAAATAAATTTGGCCAGCAAACCTTCAAAGATTCACACATTTCACTGCAAAACTAGTTTAGGTCAAACATTGTGTTTGAGTGCAAAATGCAAAACAAACCATTATTTGCCTGTGTGCTTGAAGCAAATTCTTGTGGGTTTAAAAAAAAAGACAAAAGAAAAAGAAACAAGAGTTTTTTTTTTTCAAATGTTACACATTTGCATGCAGATGTAAACTGCTCACTTCATCTATAATACACGTAGGTTTTCTGCATGCCTTAGAGGAAGGAGTAAGAATTTGAGTTTCATCTCTTTTCATATGCTGCCCTAGCCAGAGGGACTTTGTGATCTTGAAGCACTAATGAAACAATCTGTCCATTCCCCAAGGTAAGCATGAGATTACATTTGTTGCACAAAGGGATGTGATTGACAGACTGGCATATTTATTAACTATTTTGCTTGCCAAAAGCCAGGTAAAAGCACAATTGTTGAGCTGCTAAGGCTTAAGTTCACCTTTTTCAGTTCTTAGACCATTTCTCTGGGTTTATCACTAGCCTGATCATCCCCCCCCCATTAACTTACCCTTATATCAGTAGCTCCTATTAGTATTTTCAGCTGAGCACTGACTAGTCATATGAACAGCTTCAATTTAAGCTGGTGCTGCCTGTTACAGTAGTTGCCCTCCCACAACATCAGCAGGTGATTTCCCCTGGCAGCCCTTCCTGTGGTGCCAGGGGACAGGCCTGCACCAGCTTCCCCTCATCACAAACCAGAAATCCACGCCGACTGGGAAGGTTTCTTGTGATTTGAAAGTATGCATGTTCCACCTACCAAATGAGCATGTTGAGGGTCCCACCCCAGAAATGAACACGAGACTACAGTCACAGTTCAAGCAGCTTAAGGTTTGAGTTAGGCAGAGGGGACTGGGATCCTGTTAATGCAGAGTCAGAGGTTTTTCCAAGAGCCCTGCAGGGAAGGGAGGCTCCCATGCCCTTTGGTACTACTGTGGTCCAGCTCCAAGGGACATCTTCCAGCTTTCCTCCCCACTGGTGTGGTAGGCATGCCCCTATCCTGCATGATGCCCAGGGAGCGTGGGGTGTCCACCAAGGCACTCCCTAAGGACTCTCTCAGAATAAGTCTGAAGGCTGGTTATTTAATGAAGTTTGCTAAAAAAGGCAGTTTGTGTTGAAGGGGAATGACAAGTTTGATGTTGTTGCATGCACCCAGCAGTCTCAGTGTTTGATGGAATTAAATACTACATCCAATACCAGAGACATAAAAGTCTCACCTACTTTATAAAGGAAGTTTATATTTCACCCTTCCATCACAAGTGTCTGGAGGAAGTTCTGATGAGAAAAGAATTAGAATACAATAAACGAAATTACCTCTAAATTGGTTGTACTGGAGAAACTCTGTGGACAGACTTCTCTTTTATGTCTGTCTTGCACTTAATTAGGAAACAGCTGGAAATAAGGGTCACAGAAGCAGCACTATTTGATGCACTGTAATGGAGTATTTTGAAATATTCATTAAATGAAATTATAAAACTTGAAATACCACAACCTGCCTGCACTTGTACCTTTCTAAAGAGAAATACAACGTCACTTTTTAAGGACATTAAGCTCTGGCCAGGTTTTTCACCTTCTGTATGAAAACATGGCAAATAATTTTATTTTTCCTTTTTAAAGCAACTTGTCACTACAATCTCTATAAAGACATATATAAAAAGAAATCATGTATTGCACAGTGTATATATTGAGTTTTTAGCCATCCTAGATGGTAGCTGGTTCAATGAACAGGAATAAAAAGGCTTTGCTCATAGGGTGGTACGTTCACAGATTTATTTTGCAAAGTCAGATAACTATGTAGATGACCTAATAGTCTTAACAAAGATTTTTTTTTCTTGTTGCAACATTATGGCAGAATGTTTTCAACTATTTTAACTGGAAAATAGGTACCTTTTTTATGCTTTTGAACATTTGCACTAGCCCAAAGACATGCCTCCCCACCAAGTCTTACAAAAAGCAACTCAAAAGAGCAGCTCTCCCAGGTTTGAACGCCTGGGTTGGAAATGGGCTCCTCCATCCCTGCTTCATCCTACCCCCTCAATTAGAAACCTTCCCTGAGCAGGGCTAAGCAAAAATTTGGCCTCAGCCCCAGGAATACCTAATAGCAGCAGGGCCCAGGCTGGTGGCACACAACCATGGCACAAAGGGATCCTGAACCAAGGCTCGAAGCCTCGGAGATTGAGCAGCAACTACTGCGGCAACATTGCTCGTGCTGCAAAAGATCAGAGCAGTGAGAATTACAATGAAGTTTCCCCCCTTTTATTCCAAAAAGCCTAATACTTTAATCTGAAACGCAGGCAGCTTTTAGGTACTGCACTGAAGATTCATCCTTGAATACCTGGCCACTGCAGGAAAGTCCACTGGGAGTTTCAGTGCCCTTGCTGTAGTACTCTCTTTGCCTCCTGGCTGCTGCCAATTTTGCTGTTGTATCAAAACTGATACACAAGAGATTTAGTACTCTGAAATCCGAAAGCATTTACCATAAAGAAAAATGTGCTGTTTACATGCACAGGCATACATGCATTTTCTTTTTTGATTTATAGAAGGGGATACAGTTGCTGAGCTCTTGGGGAAACAGATGGTACCCACACACACACACACAGGATAAGTGAACTTTTGGTTTTTTAATGCAGCTGCCTTTTTCTTCCTGCTCCCATATGCAGTCCCTGATGAATCAAAAATATGTATTCTATCCAGAAAAGTATTATTTTAGAATGTTCTGAATAGTCTCTAGAGCTAGACAGATTTTAACATATATTTTTTTATTAAATATGTAAAAAGATAAACGCAAGTCAAGTTATTCACATATTCAGACAAAAATCTACGCTATCATGCGACAATTCGTGGATAATGTAAAATGACTGATACATCTGAATAAGACTTCTTTTGTATCTATTATGCCATTACTTATCTATTTATAATTAACAATACATATGTTTACATTCCTTTCAGTTTACATTTAATATATAACCAAAGCTTTATGGTGTGCTATTTAGTAAAGGTAATTACAAATGCATATTAAAACCATAACAGAAGAATGGGTTACTCGCAGGGGATGGGGGGAGAAGGGCAACTCTTTCCCCTTTCAGAACACTGCTCTCCCCTCAGCACAGCCAAATTTCTAGTGCCCTCAAGGTATTTCACTGCCCCAGCTCCCTACATCAGTTACTCCCCCCTTGATACAAGCAGTGAGAGGGCTATGGTCCTCAGATTAGAAACAGGATATGAGGAATTTTCAGGAAATTAAGTGCAGCTTTTTAAAAAATTTTCTTTTTTTTTTTTTAATACGTGCTTCAAAAGAGAGAAGAGGAGAGAGGCACAACAGCCTGGCTATGAATCGTCCAGGGAGCTCAGCAACCCCAACCATTTGCACCTTTAGAAAAATGTTTTCCCTTGAAGTGCTCTCCATGCATCTGCTCAAGTATTAGCAGAAGGATGAATGGCAGTAAGCAGAGACTGATGCTGATGAAATTAGGTTTATAGCCTGATCCCAAACTCCTTGCCCCATCAGAGATCCCGTATAGGTTAAAGGACATTCTGGAATCTGGAAAAAAAATTAGTAACTGCTCTTCAACAGTATTATGAAGAACTACCATTTATTACAATGACAATTGTAATAAGTACATATGTTCTAATAAACACAAATACAACAAAAATGACAATTCCCCCATTGTGGTGATTCTTGGAAATACTTATTTTGGAATATACACATTTTTTAAATAATTAAACCAGACCTTATTTTTAACCAATTGAAACGGGAGAGGAAAGTGCTGGCCTGCAGGTTGCAAGTACTTTGACCTCATCACCTAGTAGGATGTGAGGTCAATACTGGATTGCAGGGCTAGCAAAACTTCAGCCTGCAGGGTCCAGAAACTCTTCTGCTGTGCAGGGGGAGGATTAAGGAACTGGAAATACTTGTTCTAGTGCTTAACAGTATTTTATATATTTTCGGTGGTGCAACACAACAGCAGGGTTCTCACACTTAACTAAGAGCCACTTAGCTGCAAAAGATTGATTAGGAATGGAAAACTGCATGTGTCATGCTTGTGTGTGTGCCCAGGGGTTGATTAATTGAAAACCTTTCCATGGAACCATAAGCTGGGAACTTACACTTTAGGAGCCTATGAACATCTAAAATGATTTAGCTGTTCAACAGGCTTTGGAGTTTTTCAGTGAATGCCAATTGGGATGGGATTTCCACGTACCTGCTAAATCAGCATAGCAATCTCCAGTTCAGAAGATCAAGTGAATACCAAGAATACCAAGCATTAAATAATCAGAGAGACTACAACACACAGTTTTATGAGAAGAACAAGGAATGCTTTATATACTCCAAGATACCACTGTTTATAAAATACCATCATTTAGAACAGGGTCATGGGACCACACTGGAAGGGAACACTCTCACTGCAGACATCTTCAGGGCCTTGATGAAGGAAGGTCAGCCCAGAGCAGAAGCTGCTCTGTCCCCTTAAGTTAGATGGTCCCCCTCTTATGTGTGCCCTGTCTCCAGGACTCCTCACTGCCTCTCCATGCTTTGGAAGCAGCCTCAAACCCGTGAGGTGTCCATCACTCACTTACATAGAGTTTGGGGAGGGGTTCAGCTGTTGCTGGTTTTTCCCCATACCTTGCACTAGTGAGAAAATTTCTGTCTTCCATACTTTTATGGATGGGGCAGTGAAGGGGAAAAAGAAAGCAAAATGAAATGGCTGGCCTACTTTGTCCTTTTCTGAGGGGTGGGAAGCCAAGGATGATGGCAGAAATCATGTCCTGCATCTACACTTGTGTCAAGGAGATTTCTCTCCTTCATCAGTACTGAGCTCTGTGGAGGCAGAGCTGCAGCTGGAGGCCGGGACTGGATTCCTCAGGAAGGAAGAAAAGCTGGGAAATGTCTGTTTACTAGTCAGGAAACTGGGAGGGTTTTCAAAAAACTTAAGTGGATGTCTGTTCCTCCAGAAATAAGCCAAAAAACATACCATGCAGCTTTCTAACATAGGGGTTTAAATCTCCCATTGAAACAGATGCTCTGCCTGTGAAGGCAGGAAAGGAATAAACATGAGAAACATGAGCATTTTCTTCCACAACACACCTCATCGTTATGGCTTGAGTATGACATCCACTGTATCCCTTTATTCCAATTGTTTGACCAAATTTATGCCCCAAGGCAGATGTACTAGAAAACGCAAAAGCACCACAAAGTGAGAAACACAGCTAGTGGTACGGAACTTCTTGCCACACAAAATGCCAATATAAATATGTTAGAACAAGTTACAAGTGTATCATACTTAAGACGAAAAAGAAAAAAAATAAATATATATATTTTTAAAGAGCAGAACAAATCTCAAGCAGCCAAGTGGTGAAGTTGCAGTGATGCACAGTAGGTGATGTAGCCCTACAACCTCTTGGGAAGATACACTGAAAGAGGACGTCTGCAAATGCATCTTGGCAAAGTATTGGTACAGAATGCAGTGGTTGGCTGGCACTCACTATGGTACATAAACGTTAATGGCAGACTGGGAGTGAACTGATTTCAAGTTTGAGGCCGCACATGTTCCATTTTCCAGAAGAAAGTTCTAACACAAAACGAAAATTGTCAGAGATGCTGCACGAGTCAGTACTCATCCTGCTGCTGGGGCTGTTCATGGACTTGCTCTTCACCTTCATGATCATCTGTGTGGCTCTCCTGTAGGGAGAAAAAGACCCCAAAACAGTCTTCAGTAGAAAGCACTCCTCATGTAATCCTGCCCCACGGTGCTCACTGTAGCACAAATCTTAACTTCTAATTTTCATGCAAGTAAGTACAAAAGGGGCTGTTACCTAAGAAAAGCAGTCTCTTGTAGTATTACAATAAAATGGATTTACTTTATTTTTAATCGAGGCATATGCAGTACTGATATTTCCTTAGAAAAAATGTCAGCTTTCAACATCACTGAAGGTCATCTGTTCTGGTAAGCGAACATTTTTAATAGTTAGACAGTGATATGCCAACAGTTAGATGCTGTATCATACAATCCTGATGTCCTCCCATTTTCAGTTTGTCCAAGGTTTTCTGAACCTGTTTGCTGTGGTTTTCACACAATCTTCAGTCTGGGTTTATATCACTAAATGGACATGACACTTGTGCTACCACCTGCTTTAAGAATTAAACACAGCCTCCTTTTTGAGGTCAGGCATACTACTTTCCTCAAAATAATACACCCACGCTAACTCCCAAAGGCTTGCATACACATTTTCTTGGGGAGGTGAGGGGGAAGAGTCCAGTATTCACTGATTTATAAAGCTACTGCTAAAATCACTAATCATCAAATAAGCACTTCCCATTTACAAATGGTTCTTATGCACCAAAGCTGTCCCTCTGAATATACATTCCCACTGAAAGACAAATCTGACTCAAGGTGATACCAGTTCGAAACAACTTCCAAGTTAGAGACAACAGACCTAGTATCCTGAGTTGACCTGGATGTTATCTGAGTTCAAAAAGTCTGGCTGACACTTAGAGCATCCCTTCTGGATTCCCATTAAGCACAGCTGCATTTACAGCTTTCCTCTCAAGTGGTTTCCATTTTTCCACAGCATGGTTCACTGAAAAGATCCCTCTCGCATATGCTCTGCCCTGCATTAGTACCACTCTGCCATTGGCAGCTCTGAAGGAAAACACTTTTCCAAGACACTGAGCTGCCATTCAACTGCATCCCCAGTCCGGTACCTGTGCAGAACTCTCCTGGCTCCCAGCAATTTCGGTAGAAGCAAGTGGCTTGAACAACAAACTTGAACACATCGATACTGCTAAGTTTTCAAATTTGAGGCAAAAATCAAAAGAGAAGTGAGGCCGTGATTTGACTTTTTCCACAATAGTTCAGAGTAGCTTATGAAATAAGCAAATTCGTTTCTGGCAATAACATATTTGTATTTCTAAAAGGCAAGAGCAGGAGAATAAGGCTCCTAATAGTTGCTGATACAATGGAAATAGTCAGCTGTTTACCACGAACAGAAACAGGCCAATTCCAATTGAAAGCAAGCTCTCTATCATTCAGGTACCATTTTCAGGTAGAAGCCACGTATCAGTCAGGACAACTGAAGTTTAGCGCCTTTTGGCCCCTTGGGGGGAATGATGCCCTTATTACATACAGTAGGTACATCATGTCAAAACAGCTTTGTGCACAGTACCTAAAAATTGCAACTTCTGTGACGGGCTGCAAGGGTGCAGGACTTGCAGAGAACAGAGTTTCACAGAGAGGAGCTGACAGCTGTGAGAACGTGGCCCTGCCTCTTGGGGTGAGAAAACTGAAGCTTGTTTAATGAGCAATGTTACCTTAACCCCATCTATCCTGACCCTCCTTATGAGTTGAGGTGATCTGCTCTGGAATGCACATGTTGCACAGACTCTCTGTATGCCCAGTTTATGTGATACCTCCATTAGAAAGCCCACTCATGTGGACTTTATAGGTCACATATACATGCTCCCTTTTCATTGATACAATAGGAAAAGCCTCTAACCATGGGAATTGGCTTGGGAATCTACTCCACAGCTCTGAAGAGGAGTGGTGGCTCCTCTCTTGCCAGGTCTACCTTTGATGGAAATAGTGAATCTTATGTGACTCCCTCAGAAGTCATTCTGAGACCTGGGATACATGCTTCTCAGTATGTATAGCTTGTATAAATACGTGAAATGGGAAAGACGAGAGTCACCATGCCCAGTTACTTTGGGACTGTGGAATCTCCTTGAATAGCATCCCCTAATAAGGGGATCTAATAGTGGAAGATCTATTTAGAACATTTATTTCTGGCTTGAGCCACATGACCATGGTCATCTCTGCCACCCATGCTGAGAGGTGCTCCCTTTTGACCCTTAAATCCATCTGCCTCAGGTGTGCCTGTAGATTGAAGAGCTAGACTATGAAAACCAGGTGTTGGGGAGAGTGGATCATTTTCCAAAAGCAGCAGCAGAGGAGTAGCTGCTAGAGCAGAAAGTTACCAAACCAACTGCATTTTGAGCAATTGTTCTAGGAAATTGAGATATCAAACTTGAGCAATTCTCCCAAATTCTACATGAACTGAACCAGAACAGTTCACGTAGGAAAGCAAAAGCTTTCCCAAGTTTCTGCTTTATGCCAAGACCCACATGTCTGTGTGTTTCATAACTACACACATAGCCTCTTCTTGTCCATCAGTCTGAAGCTCTCCTACTGTAATACCCTATGACCAAATGCTTTACACACTGAGATCTTGACACTGTCTATAGCAGTCATAGCATAAGAATTAGGAGCCACATCTTCTCACCAACCAAATGTAGCCTTTTTAGCACTGTTCTCTGTCAAGTTTGATGTTTTTGATGAAGAAGTAAGATTACAAATGAGCAATCTGTAATTAAAAATTACAATGGATTACAGACTGATCGGCCAAATGTTAAGTGACAGTAGCAGGTACTACATCCCTCTTGTGTAAACAGAGACAACGATGAGGTTTAAAACAGAACCGTAACAGAGAAAAGAAAAGGGAGCCTCTATGGACAAGGAACCCAAATGGATTGATATTTGTGCTGCTCAAACTCACCGAAATTGACAAGTCAAAAAAAAAAGAAATTGATCAGTCTTAAAAATTTAGCCCTTAGTGAATGAAGCAAAACAGAAGCTTATGAAGTGTTATGATTGAAAACACGGTATGAACTGGAATTCTGAAAAAAATAATTGCCCCACTCCCCATTCCAAGACATGAACCTGGTAAAAATCTCTTCAATGCAATACTACAACAATCAAACCTCTGGAGAATGCTTTTTATAGGGACTATGCTCTATACTTGCATTCTGAATAATTCTACACAAAATTCACATAACAGCCTCATGCTGGAGACTGGGAAAGACAAACTGCTGATACCAAGGGATTAACTGCAAAATGACGCAAGATGAAGAATTTAACTTGGGTCAAATTCATTACAGAGAGAGAGAGAAAAAAACACAAAAGAGACCTGAAAGGCAAGGCAGGACAATGAGAGAGTAAGGTCCCAACCTAAAAAGTAGGCAGGATCTGAATCAGCACCAAACCAGTCTTTGATTTAGTGCTAATGCACTGGGGTCCTTCCACAGCAAATTACAGTCCATCTGCTAAGGTGAGGAGACCAAATCTTCCACCAAAAGATACAAGAAAATTGTGTGAGGAATGGCCTCTGTATTCCTCTCTGAAAGAGAATGCTCTCCTGCTGAAGTGACATACCCAGCCTCCCAACTGCAACCACATTTTTAGATAAAGGCACAGTTGTTGTATGTAGGCAGAGATGATGACTGCAACAGAGAATGGCTTGGAGGGAAGAAGCAGATAAAACACTAGGATATGGACTGAAGTTTTTGTAGAAAATTTTGTAATGTGTTCACCAGTAAGGAAAACTGCAGGGAGAAAAGCAACAAATGCATTCCTTGTGGAATCACTTTGCTATTTAAGCCAAGAGATAGACAGATGTGGCAGGGCTATGGGGAGAAGAGGGATTTTTATGGCTTTGCTTTATAAATAAATCACTGTTCTTGAATCCAGAAGACATTTTCTCTGACCACTATATATATGTAACACTTTCACCCTGTTATCACATGCCTGGTAAATTTGTCTTATTGTTTATCCCTGTGAAAATAATGGTTTCCTCCTCCTTTTCCTCTCTAGCACTTGTCCCGCACCACTGAACACATCCTCTTTCCCCTGTCACTTCTCATCTAAGTAGTAGCCCCTGTCAGCAGCAAGCTTGTGGCCCTCTTGCACCTAACTTTCAAACATTAATGCTCTACATCAGTCTTTTTTAGAAAAGCACGTGAATTAGTAGTTCCTTTTGCACTACTGATATAAAATTTTAAGTCAGTTGACTACTGCTGCAACAGCTTTCTGGAAACAGATATAAGACAGCCTATGGTGCCACAGTGTTGCCAAGAGATTAAGTTGATGCCTACACACTCTGGAGCCAAAGCCATCATCCACTGAAGGGTGAAGGGTCAATTGTCAGTACAATCCATACAGGGATTTAGTTAACATGAATGGGAGTAGTTCAGCTAAATCTTCACTGAATCATTAGCCCTGAATGTCTCAGAGGAATTTAACCAGCACCCTTTGCTGCTTCTTGCTTTGTTCAGTGTCCACAACACTAAGTCTAAGATGCAATGACATTCTTGCTTAATCTTGCAGACAATACATTTCTGAAATTTTGCTAATAGAGGATTATTGCATTTGCACAAGGAAGAATTTTGCCTATAGCAAGAGGATAAAAAATGCTAAAGAGCATTATCTCTGTAGATATAATCATGTACTTGGCAACCTGTACCATACATATTCCAACACTGCCACATGGGCTAGAGAAGGTTTGCAGCTGTAGACACTCAAAGCACCTCTGCCAGAATTTCTGTGATTTTCAACACATTGAAGAACACAAGTAAAAGAATTTATGCACACAGGGAGAAGATGAAAAAACAAAATTGAGGCTCAGAACCATATGAAGTCAATTTATAATTGTGACACAGACCCTCCCCTTTCAGATCAACATCAGCAAGTCCAGAATACAAAACCTACACTGAAAAGCAGGGAAAAGGAATCCTTTCCCCAAGCTGAAAAGCCTGCTGTTTGCAAATGCAAACTTCCTTTTTGGGGGGAGAAGTCATGGAAATTCATGGAAATCCTAGCTGCTACACTTCTGCTGACCTAAATATAGGACATGACTCAATACTGTACCAACAATTTTTTAAGAAATTAAGCTTTTTTGTTGAAATGAAAAACATTAAGCTTGAACTTACGTGTTCTTCTGAAGCATAAAGGACTTCCATTAGCCGATTGACAAGATCATTATTCTCTCCCCCGTGTTCCTGGCAGAGAAGTTCAATCTCCCTTAATTTGCCAAAGTAGAAATCCCTTTCCTTCTCCACACCTTCAAGTGCAAGTTTTAACGAATGTACCTGCATATAAACCAAGACATGATGCATCAGTTTTGAGGTGCACTACAGACAAAACAACTCGGTCTAAAATTATGCATGCTAAGCAATCTTACATACATATTCAATTGTATAGCTTAAAATGAAGTCCACTTTTTTTCTGAAGTGCTAGACTGAACCTTACACCATAGAGAGAACAGAAAATTGGGCTGCCCCATTACGCCTCTTGGATACATCTTAACCTTGATCCTTAAAGGTCAGTTTTCTCAGTGCCCTTTTATACTGAAGCCCAAAGCAGCAGTTCAGAAATCAGGGCTACTTCAGCCTTGTCTCCTAACAAGGCTGCCAGAAGTGTCACGTAATGGTAATTAATAAAACTTTCAGCTCAGTACTTGCATTGTTTTGCCTGTATTAATGTGTAGTTGTTCGGAAACCTACAATATCTCCTTGCCTAAAAACACACAGAATTAGCAGAAAAGCTCACAAAGGGAGTTGGTCTAGTTAGGAAATAAAAACGTCCTCTAGTTACAAATGCGAGTACTGCTGTGTTGGTTGGCCACCTCTCCTGTTCTGCCTCCCCACTTACCATACTACTATAGACCTGCATTTTGGCACTCTGGTGCCATGACTGGCTGCACCATGGACTTTCTGCTCTGACTGATGTGCTGTTTCTATCAACAAATTCTCTCAAAAGCTAAGTATCTTTCTCTTCTCAGCCTTGTTGTTCATGAGAGTCTTCAAGCTATACTGTCAGCCTCAATTTCACCACTAGGACTGCTGCAAATCATTTATGGGCAATGCAGCTGTTAATGATTAGGCTTCATATAAATCATGACAGATGTTGCAATATATTTTTTTACATATATACATACACATATATATATTTAGAAAAGAACAATTTTGTGGGAACATAACATATAAATTTTTGTCTAGCAGGTTATACACAATCAGGATAATGTGTAAGTGGCTCACAAATTTGGAGGACAGCAGTGTAAGAACCAACAGATATAATCACAGACAAAGCTGTCTATAGTAAACACACTGACCCCAATCACATCCAATTACAGCCAAATTAGCACTTTAAAGCCTGCAATTATACAAATTATTTTCTAAATAAAACATGCTAAATAAATCATATCAGACTACATTTCAGTGAACTGATGCAATTTAATAGAAAGTTCCGTGCTGCCAGTTCCACTGCAAGCTAATTTATTTTCTTCACTAGTAAAAATACCAGCAGAGTTCAAACAATGCTTTGACAGCCTACTAAATCCTAACGGGGTTTTTTTTCCATAACTGCTGAGCTAGTGATGCCTTTTTCTGACCTTTGTTTGCACTCTCAAAGGCATCAAGCAGCAGAACTGACCTGTTACCAGAGCAGGATCTCAGAGCATCTCATTTATGTACTAATCCATTTCTGACCAGCTGCCTGAGTGTCACACCCAAATCTTCCCTTGACAGTTTGAATCCATGATGGATATAATGATCAGGCACCTTAAATTAACTATTTTTTCACAAAAGTAGGAATAGCAAAATGGAACAGGAGTTTACAATATTCCGGTCTGTAGATGAAGACCTCACACTCAGGATGTGCCTTCTGGATCTGCCACAGCATACTGCTTGAGAGCAATGCCTGCACCCAGACAGAACAAGAATGTAACTGCTTCCAGATCTCTTGCTCTGTGCTTGCTAGAGCTTGGGAAAACAATGAACTTCAGCTGAAAAATTGGCAGCTAATAGCTCAGACCATCTCCCTATTCTGACCTATTTACTATGAAGACATTTTCCCCCTTTTTTATTTTTTCCCCCTTTTCTATTCTATCACATTTGCTCTGTTTGAAGAAATAAAACCATTAAACTATGCATACATACACAGTGTTAATTAGCTACAGTATAAACGCTGTTATAACCAAACCAGATATGCTTTTCTTCAGTTACATATCAGATACCTGTCTGTGCCACATGAATTCATATTTCTTCAGATATTTAGCACATCACATCTTACTTTTTCCTTCCATTAACATGCCAAAAGGCTGATACTGTAGGAACAGCATGCATCAATTCCCACGCTCTGCTTCTGGACCAAAAGGACCCCTCTGCAACCCAGTTAATGGGTGCAAAGGCAGCAGTTCTCACTAACTGGTCTTTTCTCTGATGGCACTTACTAATAACATGAATACTCACAGGGCTGCAGAACCAGGTTGGAGATGAAGTACAGCTGTAGGCACACAGCCAAGATGGTGCTGTTTTCAGAAACTTCGTGTGTACCCACATACAGTTAATGGTTCCTGGGACCATTCTCCATATGTAAAGGTCCCTTCTCTGTATGTAATGGCCCCGGGTTTGTGTTGTCTCCTCGGGCATGGAGACACTCATTGGGAGAGTGCTAGTTGGCACAGACCAAAGACACAGCAGGGACCACTTCAGTATTTTAATGCTATGGGTAATCAAGTTCCAGTGCAAAGTGACATTCCTTGGAAGTGTTTAATTTACTAGCACAGATCAAAGATAATTTTAAGAGAAACTTTAAGATTGTTGGGAGTCATTAAACTAGCAAATGTTAGGGACAGCTTACAATTATTGCAAATAGCTCATTAAGCTATGCTGTGGTAAAACACAGTGTACAGACACTCCCATTAGTTAACATTTTCCGCTACGAATCGCATGGAAGTTCAGATACTTCAATCTCCCTTAGCTGCTATCCATGAAAGGTCTGAAAAAAGGCTGTTACAGTTACAGAGGAATCTGATATCCAAGACACAATTCAACACTTCTTACTCCTAATAAAGACAGAAACTGGGTAAAAGTGCCTGCTGCCCTCATCTCCACAACTGCTGGAGAGTGGTAAAAACCAGGCAATTTGGCTCTTCCAGCATGTTCAGATGGGGGGTCAGGAAAACTTGGCTCAGAGCTGCTTTGCAGCATAACTTTTTTGGCTCATGTTATATGCCAAGGGTGCACAAGTATCCATTAGTGGGAAATGAGATACCGAATGTTGTCAGCATTAAAAAAAAGCCTTCCAGACTACTCCAGCTAGATGATGTCTCTTAAAAACTAGCTATTAAAGCATCAACTTTTCAAATCCTCAGAATTTCTTCTCCTCTTTGGTGATGGGGGAAATTATCACTTTTCCTTCAGGGTTATTTGTATATAAAGCTTAAGGTTTTCACACACGGAACATGCTAGGAATCTGTTAGCAGTGGATGTGATAGTGACTGCCTATTTCAGTAAAGATCAAATATTTTTATGGTGCTCAGATCCCAACCAACTCTTCCTCCTGAAGCAAACACATTCTGACTTCTGAGAACAGACGTCACGGTTTAAGTTGCATTAAGCTGACGTTTGAACTCCACTCGACATTGATTAAAAAAAAAGGATTCCATGAAAAATATAAACATCCATTTCTTGTGCAACATTTAAAAACTTTTCTGTTACGGCAACAATCTAGAGCCCATTGAGAAGGCTGGTGGACACTGCTGTGCTCCCTGCTGCTTGGAATGATACCTAGAATCTGCAGTATGCCGTGTCTGGGATGTGGCTATCCATCCACCATCTTTAAGTGTATAACAGTAACCAAGAACTTGCAAACAGTGTCCCAACAAACTGAAATTTTTGCTGTTCAGGTCAGTAAAAATCTGAAACTGAAATGCCCCTAATTGTGGGAAATTATACGTGATCCAGAATAACAACTACTTGCAGGCAGCTCAAACTCTAAAATGGAGTTTTTTTCCTTTCCATTTTCCCTCATCAAGGACAAATACAAGGATCAGGCCCCATTTATACTAGTGGCATTTACATCATTCTGACAGCACAGTCTTGAGCAAGATGCAGGTATTTATTCATGTTCAATGCAGACACTCTTGCATGTCCAGGAATGAGAGAGGTGTAAAGCTCCAGAGCATAAACAAAAACGAAGCCCTTACATTCCTAACAATAAAGAAATTCTGAAGGTTTATTAACTAGATTGCAGAATATTATTTATAATATATCTAAGTATTCTCACAAAAGGAAGTCACATTTTTAAATGAAAATGGCATATTACCTTCTTAATGCCTTCCTTCCAGAATGCAGAGTGCAATGAACTAGTCTCAATTCATCTGCAAATCTCTTAAATACTTGGTATTACAAACAGGCTTGTCTTCTCCACAATGACACATTAAATGATTTATTTCATTTGTAATACACAAGAGCAAAGACACTATTGGTATTTTTCCCATCCAAGTGACATAAAAGATATATTTCAACACATAATAAAATTATCGTACTTCAGCAAGACTTACCTGTCACTCCTAAGATATTCTTTTAAAAATACTGGCAAACACCAGTCATCTCTCCCAGATCTTATTTTTAATAATAAATATTTTCTTTCTCTTTCCAGCTCAGCTATTTCCACTTTTGTCCCTTCATAATTCTGGAGAGCATCATTCAACAGAGGACAGTATTAGATTTCATGCCTGCCTGTGACAATGAATGCATCTAATTTTGTGCCCAGAGCAAATTTACCTGTTCGCTGAGCTGTATGACTTGAGTTTCCAAATCTTTATCTGATTTGGATGCTGAGCTGCTGGGTGCAGCTTTTTTTGCTGAAGATGGGCGAGAAGGTGTTGATCCTGGTTTAGAAGCTGGACTGGATTTAGCAGCACCTGAAAACCACAATACATCAATAAATCAATCAATCAAGATTGATCTCTATGATAAATGCATTCCTATTAACCTGGTACTTCAACAAAAGAATTCATTTTACAGCCAGCCATTCTCTCTCTTACTTCATGGTGACTGTGGAGGAAGTTCTGGTGCTGCTACACCTTGGGAAAGGAAAAACCACATTTCCTAGCAGTCTGAGTTTGCTAATGAGAGTGAACTAATTCTAAAACCAAAATAAACAAACATCAAACCAAGAATATAGAGTTCCCTTAGCTCTGAGCAGCTTTCAGCTTCAAAAAAACATGCCATTAAGAGACCATTCTCCCAGCCCATTACTTAGTGTACGCAGCTATCCCTCAAGTTCTGTGGAGAAAGACAGACCTGAAACAAACTCAGCTAAACTGCCTCTGTGCTTTCTTCATTCTCAAATGTAAACCATCCCTGAGACAAGGGCATTGAGATTCAGACAGAGCACACAGAATTAAACCCATTGGCGAACTCACAGTTGGCCACAGTGACCAAAAGATGAGTTTTGATCTGCTTAGGTTTTCCTATTTCTTTTTAATTACTTGCACTGCAAATCTGAGAGAATATGGAGCAACATCTTTACCAGCAAAAATGGCAATTAACAAGTGCATACAGATACTCTTTTTCCCAATGACTGTAGCACACAAATGCCCAAGCAGAGGAACAGTTGTGTGCAAGGGTTTGCAGTGCCTTCACAGGAACCTCACAGCCAGCTCCTCACGCCTTGCTCTGCCTCTCCATCTTTCGCCTCCTCGACGCTGGCTGTTTGATTTAGTCGCTCAGCCCAGTACGTGAGTGCCTGGCTCACAGCCGTCCCCCTTGCCTCAGCTCCCATAAGCACTGTACTCTGACTCAGCCTTTTCCTTATTCCCTCCAACCAGGAATAAATTTGAGATGTAGCGGACAGACATCTGGTACAGAAACTGGTTTGGCTAAGAAGACAGAACACAAACCCAGCCTCCCTCAGACCTATTTGATTTGATTTATGAAGCAGACGTGAATCAGAAGTCCTGCTCAGCAGCACCCATGTTTATCACTGTTTCCTACAAACAGCGAAGTACAGTTGTCCAGATGTGCTGACAGGCTCCAACCCATCCTCCACCATCAAATGATGTTGACTCTGAAGCCTGGGCCACACAGGAGACAGCCCTAATCCAGCAAGCACAGATGAGCTCTGAGTTTGTTGCAGTTCACCAATTCCAGAGAATTTGCAGCCACCTTTTACCACACACCTCCTAGCCAGCTGCTCCTCCCATACAATTACTTGATTTATGGCACACTACAAATTGTTCTAAGTTGTCATTTCCACGATGCATCACCAGTGTCAGACAATGCTTTAATAAAGAAATCCATTGTAAAACAAATGTAGCGCAAAAATGCATTACTAGGAAGAAATTGCAAGGAGGCAGGGAGAGGGAGAGACACATCTTGTGGGGCTGCCCATATGACCAGACCGTGGAGCTCACAGTCTCACTGACCTGAGAACGGTGACAGTAGTTCATGGGAGGAATTGAAAAGTGATGGGAAAGGAGAGCAGCAATGGGTTATTTAATCAAGCTTGCTTAAGCTTTCCTGATTTAGTCACAGGCTTCCCTCTGTAACAGGCATCTCCTCCCACCCTGAAGGATAACTCTGTATTAACTGGGTCACGTAATGCCAACAGAACACAAACAACTTGATAATTCAGTTAACGTGTAAACATTTCTGTGCGAGGTGGCCATCCTCCTTTTCTATGCTCTTTTATATAAGGCATATAAGAAAAGAAAAAGAAAAGTATGTTGGTGGGGTTTTTTTGTGATTTTTGTTTGTTTGGTGTTCTTGGGTTTTGTTTTGTTTCTTTTAGAAACTGGTGACTCTGATAGCTCAATAGCTTCCATGTCTAATTGTATACACAAACTCTTCTCTAGCAGATTTCAGATATAGTACACAAACTCAATAAACTTGGGAAAATTCAGTGTTGTACATGTCAGAAATTAAACTTTTTTCACATTGTACTTAGATCAGCAAGGAATAAATCATCTCTGGAAAAACATTAAAAATGCCAAGATCTTTTGGTGCTACTTCTTTCTTTACGAAATTGCCTAAACTTTAGTACCCTGCCTTCAATGTTTTCTAGGTTCAGCCCATATTTTGATTAACTAAAAGTCAGTTGCTTCAGAGCAGGATTGCTAAGATGTTCTCAGAGCCAGAAAAATAATTTTCATTTGGATTAGCAGACAAACAGAAGAAAATTAATGTCAAATATGAATGAAAAACACACACGTGAAATAAAATCACTTTGACTCTAGCATTCTAGTTGGGTCTCAAGTTATTTCATGAGTACTTGTATCACACACAACTGCAACATTCACCTGCACAACACTTAAAATAAAATTTATGTATACTAAACCAAAGAATCGATTATTTATTTCTTACTGTGTTCTACACCTCTAAGATGCAGTTCAGGGTATCAACGGAAAAGTAAATGCTTTAAAACAAGCTATGGCCCTTCAGATGTGAAACCTTGGCTGGTAAATGCAGCTCCCCCCTTTACCAACTACCCTTGTTCTACCTGCACACAAGCATTGGAGAAGCCGTTCAGCTCTTCCAGGGCAGCATCCCTTGGCCTGTCAGCTTTTCACCATTTCTCCTGGGGAGTCATGGTGCAAGACCTAAGCAACACGTGTTGTGCAGGACTGCATATTGCTCCCTTTCATGCTCAATGGCCCTGTCAAGTGAGATAGTTCTTTGCAGACCATAGTACTGATCACAGCAAGCAAATCATCAAGTGCACACCTCTTTTTAACCACCAGAGACAGCTGAGGACAGAGCAGGCACAAACTTTTAATCCCCAGGTATTCTCTCTAATTTGCAGCTGAGGGGCCCTCCCAGAGCGTGCAGAGCAAACCCACATTCCTACTGCCTGCGGACAGCGAGGGCTGGATAGCACCGATACACTGCATTGTACTCTGCCCTTCTTTGAAAACAACAAAGCCTTTTGAATTTCTACAGCAAAGTGTTACTGAGCTTTATGACGTCCAGACAAATCAAAAGAAATCCACTTTTGCTCTGCTGCTCAGGATCTTAAATGAACACGATATTCCAATTTCAGTCACACATATAAAGACCAGCTAAGTAGATACTTATCAGCGACAGCTGGATAGAACTTAATTGCAACAGAGAATGCTTATGGATTTCTAACTTAAAATTTCCTGGAGGAAGAAAAAGCTTTACTGCACATTTATTCTGAAACATCAGTTTTAGAATCAGCTCAGAGGTAAGCCTCCCATTCTAGTTAAAGCTTAATTTCATATAAGAATTAAAGAATGCTGGCTGGTAGAGTAGTGCTAAGTACTTGCCACAGCCAGATATCTAAACAAGAGACGAAAGATCTTGGTAGATCTTTCTTAATGACTTGCTGTAGAGCAATAGTTTTGCAGTCAATTAGTGCAATTGTGGAATAGTTTCTAATGCATTGCTCAGAGGGACTATATGATCCAAGCAGTTTAAATTCTTTCCAACATCATATCTTCTATGACAATATTTATATATAACCCACTTAAATATTCTAAGGAAGTACAAAATTTTATACAGATATTTTATTTAAAAAATATCCAATAACCAGCTCTTTTCACTGACCAGTGAAAGAACTGCATTGTAATCAGCACCATAAATGTTTCCCACTACCAACTGCTTTTCAAGCTTACTATTGACGTTCAAGAAGAAATGCCAAGCCCTGCCCTGGAGAGGAATCAACCCTTGACCCAGAACATCCTGGCAGCCAACAGACTGGAAAGCAATTTGGGCAGAAAAGGATTTGGGCATCCTGGTGGGCACTAAATTGAGCATAAACCAGCAAGGTACCCTTGCAGCAAGGAAGGCCAACAGCCTCCTGGGCTGCATTGGGAAGAGCATTGCCAGCAGGCTAATTCTCCCTCTTCACTCAGCACTGCTGATGCACATCAAGAGTGCTGGGTTCAGTTGAGGTCTCCCCAGTACAGGACAGATGTGGATGAACCAGAGACAGTCCAACAAAGGCCCACAAAGATGACTAAGGGACTGGAGCGCCTCACATACAAGGAAAGTCAGAGAGCTGGGACTGTTCAGCCTGGAAAAGAGAAGCTTCAGGGGGATCCTATCTACGCCTGGAGAGAGAGTGCAAAGAAGATGGAAATACTTCGGTGTTCCTTTCAGTGGTCCCCAAAGGACGGGAGGCAATGGGCTCAAAACAAAATACAAGGAATTCCACTTAAACATAAGAAGAAACTTCTTCACTCTGAGGGCTATCAAATACTGGCACAAGCTACCCAGAGAGGCCAGGGGGTTTCCAACCCTGGAGATACTCAAAATGCATCTGGATATGGTCCTGGGCAACCAGCTCTAGGTGACCCTGCTTTCAGCAGAGGGGTTTGACTGGACGATCTCAGAGGTGTCCTCCCACCTTCACTGTTCTGTGAGAACTTCTGTGACAGCATGCTCTGATTTTAGGTCAAAGCAGAGTTCAAACTACAATTTTTTTCTAAACAGTATTCCAGTTGCTTCAATTAGCACCTGGATAACTTATTTGTATCTGCCCATATAACGCTAGCAGAGATGAGAAAAGTAAATTCACAGCTGAAAGACAAATTATTTTGTTCTTGTACTCAAATAAGTTAAAACAAACCAGCTTTGAAATGCATTACAGATTTCTACCTGTGGTACTCCAGAAGCAATTACTACTATGTATCCCCTGCAGTTTCAGCTTCACTATTCTTTCTGCTAAAGACCTATGTTTTACAAACAGATGTAAACTTCTGCAATTTAAAACAGTGGATGTTGGCACTGTGCGGGGTTTGGGTACAACAAAGTTAGGCTGCATATTGCAGGTCTCTCTGCATCACAAGTGCAGTCTTGCAGTCAAGAAACCTACTTGAACGTTTAGGCAGAAATCTTCCTTGAAGCTATGTGAGTAATTAATACGCCATTAAATATTTATGTAAAATTTTCAAGAAAA